TGGACACTGGTTCTCTTCCTCCCAAGCGGCACCGCCTGAACGGGGCCCTTTGTTAGGAAAATTCTCCAGGAAGAAGGATGTTTTGTTGAGCAGGTTTTTAAACATTGCATAGTAGGAAGTTGGAGGGGTTAAGCAAGTAGGGAGTAGCAGTAGAAGGCAGAGGAGGGAGCCTGGCAAGCCCAGGCGGAAGCCAGCTGTGACTGCCTCTATGTGTCCTTTCCCATTCCCTCCCTCCACAGGCCCTTTCCAGACACAGTCACCTCCACAGAACACCCCCCTCCCTGCCTCAGGACATCCTGTCATTGCTTAGCATGCTCACTGCCCCCACGTCTGATCAACAATGGCCCCTAATGCAGACACTGAGACCACGGTAAGGCAGAGGACCCGGAACATCTCTGCGGGCAGGTGAACTCCTGCAGAACCAGCTGTCATGCACACTCAGGCAGCTCTGCTGTCTGGAAAGCCCTGTGACTGCTCCGTGACCTGGTTCAGTTCTCCCCACAGAAATGAGCATGGCCCTTACATAAACAAACATGAGCTATACTTTGGTTATCATTACCCGACAGAATGTTTCGATCTCAGAAGCTACCTGCATCTGTTGGGCAGTGCGGTTTACTGGAGGGGCTCAGAAGGCCCGATTCCAGTTTTCAGGCTGCCTCTGCTTCGCTGGGAAACCTTGAGCATGTGATTCAAGGTCTTGATTTTCTTGGGTATCAAACGAAGCTCACCAATGAACATCTACCACTTCTTAGTGAGGAGGGTGAGTCACTGAAGCTATGTGAGAAGCAGTGTCTAAAGAAGCTAGCATGAACATTTTAGCCACCTCTGTGGCTTGCAAATGGGTCCCTCATTTGCAGCATCTGAGAAGCTGCTCTTGCCTTTGTCCTGTGAGACAAATCTCTCCAATGCATGTGTTTCAAGGCTTTCCAGCTATTCTTGAAGCTCTTTAGGGGATGAAATGTGGGGAGAGGATGTGGATTTCTGTACCTCAGTTTACCCCAAAGAGGTTCAGATGGGACTTTATAAAAACACTTGCCAGACTGTGCTGGAGACCTCCATTTCCTTTTCTTCTATTAAGATTTTCATCCAACTTATTTAATGCTTGGTAGGATGTCATACTCATAGCAGACACTCAGGACATAATTATTAAGTTGTGTTGAACTCCTAAGGAGATGCATAATATAAAACTGAACCCATGTAATATATGTAACGTAGGTAAAATTTAAGCTGAAAGAAAACAATCCTTGCTCTGAAGTAAATTGCTAAAGTGTACTGCCAAGATTATGGTGGAATTTAATAACTTAATTGGTTAGAGTAAGAAATACTTTGTATTCCGAAAAAGTTAAAAACTTTCCAAGGCGTGTGGTTATTCCTATTTCCACTTATTCAGAAGTACTGTCAGAATCCTAAAAAGATATGGGCAGAATTCCTGGCAGGCATTCATTGTGCTTAGTGAACTAGGACGGGGCATTAGTCAAGGCATGTGAGTGGAAAGAATCTTTCATCTCAGTGTCATTGCCACAGGTTAGCAAAACAATACCTTTTCCCCTAGAGTAGAAGGGTTTTTTCCTTAGGAATTATCACAACATCTCAACAAAAACTTTACAGAGTGGAAGCCACTTTATATAGCTAGTATAAATCTGCCCCCCTTGGCACCTTATTTTTGGTTTTGGTTTTTGTTTTTCGCTGCTCAAGTCAAAAAGAATTATAAGAAAATAGATTTTTACTTGAAACTAAAAAGAGTTCCTTTCTAGAACTGTTCTAAAATCAAATGATACTCAGTCCAATCTCCCATTTTTGTCTTCATGGCTATATGCGACAAAGCTAAAAATGATGAACCCCTTTCCTAGAAAAAAAAAATTTGCCCTAAGTGTTGTCATAAACTCGACATATAAACAAGAATCAAGAATGTAGTTTCTGGACCCCTGCTTCCCATGAGGACTCTGAGGGTGTCTGAATCCATAAGATGTCTATTGTTATATAGGTGTCAAAAATCAAGAGGTAAAAGTTGTTTTTCTTGTTCATCTTTAGATGCTACTGCCTCGGGAAATGTGTAGAGAAAGGGCACATTGGATGTACTTTTCCTTTGAAACTGATATTACTGTGGCAACCAGATATCGCTGACATTATAGCATTGCACCTTATAGTATTAGATACATGTTAACAAGACATGTTTAGAGAATATAAATCCTGAGTTACAAACTACCAAATTAAGAAGAAAATCTTCACTCCGGGGACATTTTAACCTATCTGTAAGTTAGAGACAGTTCTTTTATATTAAGGAAAATAAGTTACTGAATATATTTTAGAAGGGTTTTAAACAATAAGAACTTAAAGGACTCTAATTATGATACTACCTTAACCTGAAATTTCTATTCTCACCAGGATTTTTCTGAACATCCAGTGCTGTGTCAATTGATGAGCTCAACAGTTACAGCAGTTGAGAACTTGGAAGTCCTCCCCCACTCAAATCATGTATTAAATTTCATTTTTATGGCAGCTCTCGCTAAAACTCCATATTGTGTAGGCCTGGGTTATTTGACCAACAATTTAAGCTAAGGAGATTCCCTGAAGTGAGTGCCTTCCTCACCAGTGTAAATGGCAGTCTCCCACAGCTTCACCATTTGGTCCAGATAGATAATGCTTTCATTTCCAAGTCACTTCCCCTCCTCTGTAGCTGCTATTTCAACTTGCGTGGGATGCAAGTTCCTCTCCAGTTACGCATTTTCAGTGTTTGCACAGCTGTGTTTGTGCTCTTAGGTCCTTTTGTGACTCTGTCCACTGATAGAGGCTGTTTCAGATTAGATTTAATCTCTATCAGGTCAGGGGTGTCATTTAACTTGCTGTAAAACAAACATATAGTGTGTGCTGTTTGCTTATTATAGTGTTCTATAGAGTTAGAGGTGATCAAATCTATCTTGTGAATATTAAAAATGTTTACAAATAAATGTCCTTTAAAATGCATGATTGGATTATGAGTCTTATTCATCTAAACCCAAAACATATGATGTGTGTACCTTCCCAGGTGGCAATAAGAGACCATCATATGTGTGGCCTAGAATCACTGAGACTGGAAATACCAAGACTCATGCTCCAAGATGACAGTTCGTGCTATCCTGCATTTATGATTCAGTAATATTAACCCAGGTGTTTCTCTCTGGCTCCAGCCTCAAGTGTCATACAATCTTATTGGAAGTGAGGAGTTTGTAGCCAGGAAGTAGGAGAAAGGGACCAGATGACAAATCGGCTTGTGTTTGGGTGCCAACTTGTACAAATGACCTTCAGTCTCTAGAGTTGCCGTGTCCATTACATAGCCATTAGCCATGTGTGGCTACTGAGCATTGGAAGTGTAGCTAGTCTAAGTTGAGATGAGCTGTGTCTGTAAAACCATACCGGATTTTGAAATTTTAATACAAAATAGAGAATGCAAAATATGTTATTAATAATTTTTATATTGAATACATATTGAAATGCAATATTTAAGAGATATTGGCTAAGTAACATAGACTATAGTTAATTTTACCTGTTTCTTCTTCTTTTTTTTTTTTCTTGAGACAGGGTCTCTCTCTGTCGCCCTCTCTCTGCTACTCTTTAAATTTGGTTTCTAGACAACCTGAAATGACATGTGAAGCACACATTATACCTCTATCTAGAGTAACCCTCAGTCAAGGGACGTCTCCCGTGGTGAGCGGCGCTTGCCAGGGAAGCAGAGTGAGGGCCCCTCAGCTCACTCAGGGGGTCTGCTTGGGAAAGAGAAAGTGTAACTGCCCCTCTGTGTAGATTTCATGCCCCTTTTAAATATATTTCTTTCAGATTATTTTGGGGTTAGTTAAATAGGATATGCTGTTTAACTGCACTGGATATAGATCTCTGATTTAAATGAGTTTGTTTATTCTGGTGCCCTCAGGATAATTAAAATGCTAATTATTATCATCATCATTACAGTGGCTAATGATTCTACAGCACAGCCAGTCCTACACACTTTACATGACTCATGAGTCAGTAGCTATTATTACTTCCATTTGAACAGATGGCAACTTGAGACTCAAGTCAGTGTCTCAGGGTCACACAACAAAGGTAGAGGTTCACCCAGGCCAGGGGGGGCAGAATCTGCCCAGAACCACAAAGCAGTACTGCCTCTAAAATAACATCTATTCCTTGACTCTCTTAGCACATGAGTATGCCTGCCTCCAAAACTTAGATGTTTTCTCCAAAACTTAGATGCTTTCCAGTAGGTTAACAGATAAGCCGTTCAGAGATGTTTACTGTCTCAAAAATTGAGGTCTACTATAAGCTTCTGGGTGATCCAATTCCTTGTTTTCTCCTAAAGTTGCCCAAAAAAGTGTACATGCATTCAGTCTGCTTTAAAATGTGGTGTAATTCCAATTAAATAAGAAACATTAGTTCCCTGCCATATGCCAAGTACTGGGCAGCCAGAGATAAAGATGACAGACTCTTGGCTCACAAAGAATTCTGCTCTGGTGGAGCTGAAGGCAGATTCTAGCAACACAATGTGTTGGGGGGGGGTGTGTCTGTAGTGCTGTGGGAACAGAGGAGAGGGACACCCAGCACATTGTGGGGTGCCAAGTAAAGGTAGTAGGATATGCTGTTTAACTGCACTGGATATAGACCTCTGATGTAAATGAGTTTGTTTATTCTGGTGCCCTCAGGATAATTAAAATGCTAATTATTATCATTACAGTGGCTAATGATTCTACAGCACAGCCAGTTTTACACACTTTACATAACTCATGAGTCAGTCATTATTACTTCCATTTGAACAGATGGCAACTTGAGACTCGAGTCAGCGTGTCAAGGTCACACAGGTAGAGGTTAAAGACATCTTCTGGGTGGAGGGAATGCTTGAGCCATCTTTAAATGTCTTGTGTCAGTTTTCTCACAGTGTGAGAAGGCCACTGGTAAAGGTACCCACCAGCTGCACCATAAGCACTGCATCTCCAGTTGTGCAGAGCACACTGACCCCATTCTTGTGGTTTCAGGTGCCAGCAAGGTCAACCTGGTGAAGATCGCATCCACGGCCTCCAGCCCACGGGACACGGCACTGGCTGCTGTCATTTGCAGTGCTCTGGCCACCGTCCTACTGGCCCTGCTCATCCTCTGTGTCATCTATTGTAAGAGACAGTTTATGGAGAAGAAACCCAGCTGTAAGTTTTGAGCTCATTCCATTTCTTAGCATTTGGGGGAAGGACATTTATGACATTGTTGCGCAAGTGTTTCTCAAGAGACTTGGCTGAGACCAGCACCAACAAGCAGTGAAAGAACACAGGGCACAGGAAACACAGGTGATCCCTGAACAGCAGAGGGCTAAGGCAGCAGGTGAAAATCTGCACGTCAATGTTGACCCCCCCCAAAACATCTTGTATGTTATTTTTCTTTTCCCAAGACTAAGTCTTGCTCTGTCACCCAGAATGGAGTGCAATGGTATAATCTCAGCTCACAGCAACCTCTGCCTCCTGGGTTGATTCTCCTGCCTCGGCCTCCTGAGTAGCTGAGACTACAAGCGCCCACCACCACGCCTGGCTAATTTTTGTATTTTTAGTAGAGATGGGGTTTCACCATGTTGGCCAGGCTGGTCTCGAACTCCTGGCCTCAAGTCATCTGCCTGCCTCGGCCTCCCAAAGTGCTGGGATTACAGGTGTGAGCCACTGCACCTGGCCTGTTGTATGTATTATACCTTGTATTCTTACATTAAAGTAAGCTAGAGAAAGGAAATGTTATTAAGAGAATCATAAGGGAGATGAAATAGATTTACTTTTCATTAAGTGGAATTAGGTCATTGTAAAGGCTGTCATCCTCATCGTCTTCAGGTTGAGGGGGCTGAGGAGGAGGAGAGGGTTGGCCTTGCTGTCTCGGGGTGGCAGAGGCTGAAGAAAATCTGTGTGTAAGTGACCTGTGCAGTTCAAATCCACACTGCTCAAGGGTCATCTGTAGACCTCACTACAGATGGCGCAGCAAGTGGCACAGCTTTGTAAGGAGACTGACAAGGCTGTGATGTCCCTGTGCCAAGAGGCAAAAGTAAAAATCATTCTCAGTATTGGCAACATTAGTAACTTACATTTTGAAGTTTCTTAACAAATTATTTCATGTTTGTGCCTCCATGTAAGAAGTCATCAGACATTGGAAGGATAGCTGGCTTATTCTTTTTTTTTTTTTTTTTTTTTTTTTTTTTTTTTGAGACGTTGTTTCGCTCTCGTTACCCAGGCTGGAGTGCAATGGCGCGATCTTGGCTCACCGCAACCTCCGCCTCCTGGGTTCAGGCAATTCTCCTGCCTCAGCCTCCTGAGTAGCTGGGATTACAGGCACGCGCCACCATGCCCAGCTAATTTTTTGTAGTTTTAGTAGAGACGGGGTTTCACCGTGTTGACCAGGATGGTCTCGATCTCTTGACCTCGTGATCCACCCGCCTCAGCCTCCCAAAGTGCTGGGATTACAGGCGTGAGCCACCGCGCCCGGCCAGCTGGCTTATTCTTTAAAAATATGAAAGCTGGAATGGCACAGATCTGCATTGGATGTTCACGGGACTCTCCTAGACTGTGTTCCCTGACAGAGTTCTCACCCCTCATTTAGGGTCTCTGCGATCGCAGGACATTCAGTACAACGGTTCTGAGCTGTCGTGTTTTGACAGACCTCAGCTCCACGAATACGCCCACAGAGCGTGCTGCCAGTGCCACCAGAACTCAGCACAGACCTGCGGTAAGTTCAACAGGGAAGGGTCCTCAGGAGGAATGGAGGCAACCACAGAACTGGAAGCAGCAAGAATGGGTCCTGGTTTATTCACCTCACAGCGAGGTGGCTGTGTTGAGTCTTCTAGTTAAAACTAAGCTTGATTAATTATTCTCCACTGCCTCCCATTGGTTTGGATGTTTTGAGTCTCTTAAGTATTAAAAAGGAAAGAAGCATCCCGTTAAAATTCTAGAATTTTTCAGCAACTTCTGGGGCATGTTTGTATTCTTTGTTTTGAGTCAGTTTAATTAAAATCGCGGTAACCTTTTGTAGAGTAGGAGTTTGTATCCTTTATGGATACAAATGCTAATATGCCTATTTTTAGAATTTCTTAAAGAAGGGAGAGCTGAGAAGTCCATTTTAAGGTTTTATACAATCATCATTGCCTCTTAAACTATTGACAGAATGATAGTTTAGGAAAGTAATTCAAAGGGAAACTCATCTCTAGCTTGAGCAAATAGGGGTAATACCAACTTTTTAACTTTTATTTTAGGTTCGGTGGTACATGTGCAGGTTTTATATAGGTAAACTCATGTTACATGTTTATTTTACAGATTATTTCATCACCCAGGTATTAAGCCTATTACCCAATAGTTACTCTACCCTCCACTAGACTCCTAGTGTGTGTTGTTCCCTTCTTTGTGTTTATGTGTTTTCATCTTTTAGCTCCCACTTATAAAAGTAAGAACATGTGGTGTTTGGTTTTGTGTTTCTGCATTAGTTTACTGAGGATAACGGTCTCTAGCTCCATCCATGTTCCCACAAAAGACATGATCTCATTCCTTTTTATGGCTGCATAGTATTCCGTGGTGTATATGTACCACATTTTCTTTATCCAGTCTGTAATTGATGGACATTTAGGTTGATTTCATGTCTTTGCTATTGTGAATAGTGCTGCAGTGAACATTCATGTGCATGTGTCTTTACGGTAGAATGATTTATATTCCTCTGGGTATATACCCAGTAATGGGATTTCTAGGTCAGGTGGTAGTTCTGTTTTTAGCTCTTTGAGGAATTGCGACACTGCTTTCCATAACGGTTGAACTAATTTACACTTCCACCAAAGTGTGTAAGCATTTTCTTTTCTCTGCAACCTTTCCAGCATCTGTTTTTTTTTTTTGACTTTTGAATAATAGCCATTCTGACTGGTATGAGATGGTATCCCATTGTGGTTTTGATTTGCTTTTCTCTAATGATCAGTGCTGTTGAGCCTTTCTTCATATGGTTGTTGGTCACATGTATGTCTTCTTTTGCAAAGTGTCTGTTCATGTCCTTTGCCCAGTTCTTGATGGGGTTGTTTTCTCTTGCAAATTTAAGTTCCTTATAGATGCTATGCATTAGACTTTTATCAGATGGATAGTTTGCAAATATTCTCTCCCATTCTGTAGGTTGTCTGTTTACTCTGATGATAGTTTCTTTTGCTGTGCAGAAGCTCTTATGTTTAACTAGATCTGATTTGTCAATTTTTGCTTTTGTTGTGATTGCTTTTGGTGTCTTTGTCATGAATTCTTTGCCCATTCCTTTGTCCAGGATGATATTGCCTAAGTTTTCTTCCAGGTTTTATACTTTTGCTTTTTACATGTAAGTCTTTAATCCATCCTGAGTTGATTTTTGCATATGGTGTAAGAAAGGGGTCCAGTTTTAATCTTCTGCATATGCTAGCCAGATATCTGAGCACCAGTTATTGAATAGGGAGACTTTTCCCATTGCTTGTTTTTGTCAACTTTTTCGAAGATCAGATAGTTGTACATGTGTGGCCTTCTTTCTAGGCTCTCTATTCTGTTCCATTGGTCTATGTGCCTGTTTTTATACTAGTGCCATGCTGTTTTGGTTACTGTGGCCTCTTATAGTTTGAAGTCGGGTAATGTGATGCCTCCAGCTTTGCTCTTTTTGCTTAGAATTGCCTTGGCTGTTCAGGCTCTTTTTTGGTTCCACATGAATTTTAAAATAGGTTTTTTCTAGTTTTGTGAAGAATGTCATTGGCAGGTTGATAGTAATAGCTCTGAATCTGTACATTGCTTTGGGCAGTATGGCCATTTTAATGAAATTGATTATTCCTATTCATGAGCATGTGATGTTTTTCATTTGTTTGTGTCACCTCTGATTTGCTTGAGCAGTGTTTTGTAATTATCTTTCACCTCCCTGGTTAGCTGTATTCCTACCTAAGCATTTTATTCTTTTTGTGGCAATTGTGGATGGGATTGTCTTGCTGATTTGGCTCTCGGCTTGGCTGTTGTTGGTGTAGGCTTGGCTGTTGTTGATGTAGAGGAATGCTAATGATTTTCGTACATTGATTTTGTATCCTGGAACTTTGCTAAAGTTGTTTATCAGCTGAAGAAGCTTTTGGCCAGAGACTGTGCGGTTTTCTGGGCATAGAATCCTGTCGTCTGCAAACAGGGATAGTTTGATTGCCTCTCTTCCTGTTTAGATGCCCTTTCTTTCTTTCTCTTGCCTGATTTCCCTGGCTGGGATTTCCCATACTATGTTGAATAGGAGTGGTGAGAGAGAGCATCCTTGTCTTGTGCCAGTTTTCAAGGGGAATGCTTCCAGCATTTCCCCAACAAGTATGATGTTGGGTATGTGTTTGTCATAGATTTCCCTTATTATTCTGAAGTATGTTCCTTCAATACCTAGTTTATTGAGAGTTTTTAACGTGAAGGGATGTTGAATTTTATCAAAAGCCTTTTCTGCATGTATTGAGATAATCCTGTGGTTTTGTCTTTAGTTCTGTTTATGTGATGAAGCACATTTATTGATGTGTCTATGTCGAACCAACTTTGCATCCCAGGGATGAAGCCTACTTGATTGTGGTGGATTACCTTTTTTGATGTGCTGCTGGATTCAGTTTGCAAGCAGTTTGTTGAGGATTTTTACACTGATGTTCATCAGGGATATTGGCCTGAAGTTTTCTTTTTTTGTTGTATCTCTGCCAGATTTTGGTATCAGGATGATGCTGCCCTCATAGAATAAGTTAGGGAGGTGTCCTTCCTTCTCATTTTTTTGAAATAGTTTCAGTGGAAATGGTACTAGCTCTTCTTTGTATATCTTATAGAATTCGGCTGTGAGTCCATCTGGTCCTGGGCTTTTTTTGGTTGGTAAGCTATCTACTATTGATTTAATTTTGGAGCTCATTTTTGTTCTGTTCAGGGAACCAATTTATTCCTGGTTCAGTCTTGGGAGGGTTGTATGTGTCCAGGAATTTATCTGTCTCTTCTAGGTTTTCTAGTTTGTGTGTATAGAGATGTTCATATTAGTTTCTGATGGTTATTTTTATTTCTTTGGGGTCAGTGGTAACATCCCTTTTGTCATTTTTAATTGTGTTTATTTGGATATTCTCTTTTCTTCTCTATTAGCCTAGTTAGTGGCTTATCTTATTAATGTTTTCAAAAAAAGAACTCCTGGATTTTTTCACCTTTTGAGTAGTTTTGTATGTCTCAATTTCCTTCATTTCAGCTCAGATTTTGGATATTCCTTGTCTTCTGCTGGCTTTGGGAGTGATTTGCTTTTGCTTCTCTTATTCTTTCTGTTGTGATGTTAGGTTGTTAATTTGAGATCTTTCTAACTTTTTTGTTTGGATGTTTAGTGCTATGAATTTTCCTCTTAAAACTGCCTTAGCTGAGTCCAGAGATTCTGGAATGTTGTATCTTTGTTCTCATTAGTATCAAAGAACTTCTTGATTTCTGCCTTAATTTCAGTATTTACCCAAAAGTCATTTAGGAGTACCTTATTTAATTTCCATGTAATTGCATGGTTTTGAGTGATTTTCTTAGTCTTGACTTCTATTTGTATTGCACTGTTGTCTGAGAGTGTGTTTAATACTAACTTTCTTTGTTATGTATTTATATTCCTCAGCACATGTTTCTACACTTACACATCCCACTCCTCCCCACCCTACCACCTCACCTCCTCTGCAAATTAAAATCCTCTATGGCCAACCAGCGTCTCTGGAAGTCTGCCCCAGTTCCCTTGTTCTCTTACTACTTTACAATTCTGTTAGCATCCATGGAACCCATACTAATGGCACCGTTTTGATTAATAACCCATCTATATTTATTTTAACCATATCCCATTAGATTGACTTGTCCTCTTGGAACTAATCTTTCTTCTCAAGAAATTGTCAGTTTCATGTTGTATATACAGCCATGCATCGCTTAATGATGGAGATACATTCTGACAAATGCATGATTAAGTGATTTCATCACTATGTAAACCTTGCAGAGTGCACACAAATCTAGATGGGATAGCCTACTACACAGCTAGGCTATGTGGTGTAGTCTATTGCCCTAGGCTGTAAACCTGTACATGTGACTGCACTGAATCCTGTAGACAGTTGCAACACAGTGATAAGTACTTGTGGATCTAAACATAGAAAAGGTACAGGAAAAATATCGTATTATAAAGTTCCGGGACCACCATGGTATAGGTGGGCCATCATCATTGAACAAAACATTGCTATGTAGCACACAGCTATATGGAATAGGAAGCTTTTATTATAATTCTTTTTCCGCTAATTATGACTATCTCCTGTTTTAGGAATGAGTGAAGAATAAAATACACTTTCTGTGGTATGTGGATCTAGTTTTGCCTTTGCCTACATAGATAAGACTCTTCAACACTATTAGTGGTAACTGTGCGATCCTTAAATGCCCCCAACCATTACATTTTCCTAGAAATGATACCATGGACACTGTTTCTAGAGTCAGAGTAAGTGGGAATACTTTCTGGAGAGATGAACTCTAATTTTAAATTTTAAATGTAATAAAATGCAGTTTGTGTGAACTCTGCCTCACCTTACTTCAGTCTGAAAAGAAAGATTAAATATACAGATGGCCTGTTGCCTGTCCTCCTAACAGAACTCAGGGGCTGGAAATGACCCCCATGCCAACGCCCTGCTTCCGTGCAACTTATTTCAAGCGCTTCCTTTTAATGCCAGATACTTTTTTTCCTTTAAACTTTTTATTTTGACATAATTTCAGGAATTTGATGTAATTGCAGAAATATTGAAAGCGTAAAACAAAGAATTCCCACGTATCCTTTATCGAGATTCCCCAAATATTAACATGTTATCCCATGTTCACATTTGCTTTATCTCTCTCTCTCTGGGGTGTGTGTGTGTGTGTGTGTGTGTGTGTGTACTTGTTTTTCATTTTCTATTTTAAATTCAGTTGCAAATACTATGTCCCTCTCCCACTTAGTACACCAGTGTTTGCTTCCTGAGGACAAGAACATTTTCTCTCACGTAACAACAGCACAGTTATTCAAGCAGGAAATCTGTGTGAAATCAGTGCCATTCCATCATCTGCAGAGCATATGCGTATTTTCTTAATTGTCTCAATATTGTCTTTTCTAAGAAATACTTACTAAATAACAAAAGAAAATTATGAAAGCTGCTGTTGCATTTAGTTGTCAAATCTCTGGTGACTTTTAATCTGGAATGGTCTTCTAATTTTTGTGTTTCATGATACTGATTTTTTTTTTTTAAGTACAGGCCAGTGCTTTTCAAAATTCTACGGTTTTGTAAAGTGACCCTCAATTGGGGTTTGTCTGATGTTTCCTCAGGATTAGATTCAGAAATACTGCTGAGGGATACTGGGTACTCAGCGCATTGCATCTGGAAGCAGAGCTGTCTACTTGGTCTATGCCTGGTCAGGCTAACCTTGGTCACTTCGTTAAGGTGGTGTCTGCCCGGTTTCTCCACTTTAAAATGTCTGTTGTTCTCTTTGTAATACATAAATATCCCGTGGAGGATACTTGGAGACTGTGTAAATATCCTGTCACTCCCCAACTTTCACCCTGTAGCTTAGCATGCTCTGATGATTTGTACTGTAATCAGTTGTTACTATGATGGTTAACAAATGCTGGCTTTCTAATTCCATTATTCTTTCCACATTCATTAGTTGGCTTCCTATGGTAAGAGGGAACTTTCCTTTTCCATTTATTGATTACCTTAGTGTAGACTCGTGGGCTGTATTCAGTGAGCTGCAGCCCTTTGGCATCATTGTTTATTCTGACGCTCAGGTTGCCCTGCGTTGGAAGTCCCTTCAGGCTGGCTCCTGTGCCATTGTGACACAGCCCCACTATTCTTTGAGCACTTTCTTTCTTTCTTCCACCAAAGAAGTCCCAGGCTTATTGTGTACTTTCCCGAGAATGAGCCATTTCTACAAAGAATGGCAATGCCTTTTGCTTTAAAATAATTTTGAAATGTCGCATGGTGAGCATGACACTTGTTTGTCGGGTGGCTGTGAACCCTAGCGAGTTCAGAGTGGTCAGAGCACTGTATGTTTCGATGGGACAGACGGAGGCCTTGCTCTGAGGGAGACTCAGATGCAGCCAGGCCAGTGCCTTCCTCTTTCACGCTGGCTTGCAATTGCAGCTCGATATTTGGCATTTATTTCTTAAAAGGGAGACTATCGTTTCATAATACTTTTTCCTGTTTATAAAAGTAAAGAGATATTCCTTATGGAAAATTTGGATACACACACATAGAGATATATATGTAAATGTCTATTTTCTCCAAGTCTTCCTCTGTGTATGCGTGTGTGTGTGTGTCTGCGTGCATTAGTGTGTTTGTGGTTCTGTAAATCAGAATGATGTATCTATGCATAGACACAGTGGGAAATCAAGAAGGCTGTTCAAAAAGGTGAGTGGTTATTTTCAGCTTATAGGATTGGGAGAAGATTTATTTTTTAATTTCTTATCTAATCTGTTTATATTTTAGATTTTTTCTTCAACACTTTATATTATCTTTGTAACACAAAATACATCCAGCCTCAGTGATATATTCAGTTTGTAAAGCTGTGTGCACACATCTACTTATTCCCTAAGTGACATTCCCAGCAATAAAAAGAAATAGTGTGTCTGTGTGTATGGAGTTAGAGGGTTCGAACATTCGCGCTCTCATCTGTGTTAGGAGGCCGCTCAGCGGGAAAGCTGTCCTGCTCCTCCTGTCTTCAGCGGGGCCGAGAGTCTCGTTTCATGCTCTCCCTCAGACTGCTTGATTGCTTTCCCCACTTATTATTGTAGGGAAGTACACATAACATAAAATTCACCATCTTAACCATTTTCAAGTGTGCAGTTAAGTGGCATTAAGGACATTCTCATTGCTATGCAACCATCACCACCATTCACCTTCCAGAACATTTTTCATCCCCCCTAAACTGAAACTCAGTCTCTATCAGACAACAGAGGCTGGTCTCCCCCTTGCTCCAGCCCCCAGCATCCACCTTTCTTCTTCTGTCTACTCTCGGTAGCTTATATAAGTGGTTCATCATTTGTTTCAGATGAGAAAAAACAGAACTTTATATTCCCTTTCCCCCAGAAGTCACCCAAGGGGGAACATCTGCATTTCCAAGAGCAGTGTTGAAGTGTTATTAAAGAGGAAGCTTCTGGAGGGGGTCCTGCGCTTCACACCTGTGCTGTCTTCCTAGGGCCGGTGCGCTTGTTCCCATCCTTGTGCTGTGATGAGGCCTGCAGCCCCGACCGGGCGACTCTCAGCTGTGGGGTGCATTCTGCGGCCAGCCTTCAGGCGAGGTAACTGGGTGCTTTCAATCAGTTATTTCATATCTTACTGTGCAAATATGCATTCTGCTAATTTACCAATTTTCATCTAATTTACCGATGGAAACATTGCCTCTTAAATATTATTGACATTCTGGATATTGGTGGGGCACAATTCTCAGGCAAGAATTAGGTAGGTCTCTTAAGATCACTCACATCCAGTGCAGCATTCTTTATAGTTTACACTCCATTAACTTTATTTTTGTCTTATGTTTGTGATTTTTGACACCTCTGTCATCTGTAAGTAATTAATATGTAAATAATTTTTACCCAAGGCATGTTATTTTAGAATTTTAGAACAGCACTCAAGGAAACTCAGTTGAGACCCAGGAAACTGCATGTTTTAGACAATGGATTAAGTAGAACTATATTAATTAGAAGGAGGTGTCAAAATTCAGTTTTAAAGTAAATGGAGTAATTGGACTTACTGGACTGAGGCAAGTTTATGACAATAGGAAACACCAGAATTCTGACTCAGTAAATTGCTATTTCATCTGGAAGACCTAAAATTATAGCCGACGTGCTGCTTTGTGGTAGTGTTTTTCTCCCGTCGAAGACTTTAAGCCCTTTTAAATGTGTGTGCAGAAACGCAAGCCCAGCTGGGGAGATGGTGCCGACTTTCTTCGGGTCCCTGTCACGGTCCACCTGTGGCGAGTTTTCAGACGCCTGGCCTCTGATGCAGAATCCCGTGGGTGGTGACAACATCTCTTTTTGTGATTCTTATCCGGAACTCACTGGAGAAGACATTCATTCTCTCAATCCAGAAAATGAAAGCTCAACGTCTTTGGATTCAAACCATAGTCAAGATTTGGTTGGTGGGGCTGTTCCAATCCAAGCTCATTCTGAAAACTTTGCAGCAGCTACTGATTTATCTAGATGTAACAACACACTGGCAGAGCCAGCATCAACTCTGGATGCGCTAGCTACGAGACGCCAGCTAGATCAAGAGAGTGGTGCTGCCATCCACCCAGCCACTCAGACACCCCTCCGGGTAAGACAGCAACTGTGTTCTCTGTGAACATAGCACTGATTTATGGAAGACCAGCATTCTGTTCCCAGCATAAAATTTGGGGAAATCTGATGAGATTTTTTTGCGTCTTTCATAATTTCTTCTCTGTTGTAGAATATGTTTCAAAATAAATTTCAAGTCTTTTTTTTTTTTTAAACTAACACAGCTAATATATAAGAGTAAAGTGGACAGCTGATTCTTTTCTTCCTCTTTGTAAATGCAACCACTTAGCACCACACCTGCTGCCTCCTTCCCTGGTTGAGAGAGATGAGCTGGGTATGGGGCATCTTGCAGGCAATTCCTGACCTTCATTTCTTCCTGTTATATGTAATTATAACATATATACAGGTATTGATTGACTTAGGACCTATGCAACTTACGACCATTCGACTTTACAACCACAATCACTAGCCACGACTGCTCCACGTCTGGCAGCGAAAACGTTGTCCAGCTGGGCGTACGACAGTGCAGACCAGCTTCCAGCAGCACTACCAACTCCACGTGCACCATTTCAACTGTACATATAGCCTACTCAACTTACGACCAAATCGTGTTACGACCGGTCTGTCGGAACCAATCGTGGTCGTAAGTCGAGCACTAGCTGTATTACTTATGCCCAATACTGTACTTAAATATACTTCGCTCACTGCCAAGTTTATGTGAATTTAGGTCTCCTAAAGCTACTCTTTTCCCTCCTCTCTCTTTAGCTGTTGTTTTCTGGATCACTCTGCTTTGACTGGTTGATTTGGTTGGAAATTGACTGTTGGCTGTGACCTGAGGCCACGTCCTAAGACCCTCTCAGGCAGAATGGTTTAAAATCAGGTCTGGGTGGAGTGAGGGTGGCACCTGCAGAGAAATGGGGGCTGTCTGCATGTTGCAAAGCTGGAGGCAGCAAAGGATTCGGGGTAACTGGGCACATCTCTGCTTTCTCCAGGTAAGGACATGGCCTCTGCGGAATTTGACATTATGTTTGTGAACATTTCCTTAAATGGGAGCGCATGTATTGTTAGTGTAAGTTCTAGAATAGCATCAGCCTTGAGTGTAAAAGGGCAGAGTCACAGCAACAGACCAGCTCCCAGGCCCACAAGACCCTGCCCCGCACAGATGGCACTGCTCTCACCACCTGTCCCTCCCCGCCCTAGATCAGGGCTGTAGGTGCTGAGGAGGCAGCTGAACCCGCTCCAGAGGGGTCTCGCTTCCATGTGGCTCTATTCTGGCCTGATCATAGCAGAGACAGTGCAGAGTCAAAGTGTGAATGCAGATGTGTTCCCTTAAAAGATCACTGCATTAGTTACATACTGATGTAAGTCTGCAGTACTTATTTTTTCGTTTTTTGTTTTTGGGTTTTGAGATGGGATCTCTCTGTGTCGCCCAGGTTGGAGCTCAGTGGAGCGATCACGGCTCACTGCAGGCTCAAACTCCCCAGCTCAAGCCATCCTCTCACCTTGTTTGCTTTTTTTTAACTACCAAAAAAAATAAAAAATCTCTGGAGAATTTATAGGGGATTCTGTAGAGAAAGCATTTTTTGCCTTTAGAGGGTAAAAAATTGGTTTTGTTCTCCGAACAGAGAAATGGAGACGTATGAGAAGGGAGGTGAGTGAATGCAGGAAAAATAAATTAGGCAGTTAAGAGGCGCAGAGCACCTGCCTCTGAGCTGTGCCTGGAGTTAGGAAAGCTGTTCACTGATCTTGCTGTTTTGAGCCATCCGTAATTTGTAAAAATTTTTATGATAATAAGAAAAGACTTAAGAATTAACCTAGTTGAGTGTAAGTCTCAAGAATGGACTATGCCCCACAGAACATGGGAACTGAAAGGGCCCAGCAGCCCAGAGCAGGTAACAAGTCCTCCACAGCAGCAGAGTGTCCGCTGGTGGGTCAGAGGATGCTGGAAACGGGAGGAGCTCAGCTGCCTCCCAGGGGCTCTACATGAGGGGCCCTCACCATGCATCGTCCATGCCTCTCTTGATAGGAGACCATCTGAGAAACTAGGGTTATGGTGCTGCCGGCTGACTGATGACTGTTTTTCAGAATTTTGTCAGGAAACAGAATTACCACTCACCTTAATTTTGTAGCTTGTATCCAAGTTTGTGATGTCAATTGCTGAGACTAAAGAATGAAACATCTTCATACCAGGTCATACCGGAGCCAACTCACTGCCTACCTTTTTCTGTGTAGGTTGGTGGTGTGGTGGGGACAGGATTGCTAAGCGCTGTCATCACAGCTGTATGAACATGACATTTTAGAAACATGTTTCAGTTAAGATTGGCTTGTCATGAAGTATTAACTATTTTTCAAAGACACTCATGGTAGTTCTCATGATTTATATATACTTTCAACTCATTATGAAAAGAAAGTTGTAATTATCTAAAATGAACCTGATGAGAAAATATTACATTCAAGTTGCACAGCATAATAATTCATTAACAAAAGTTTTTACTAACTTTTCAAGAGATATAGTCCTATAATTATTGGATAATTTAGGTAAAGCTAAGTATGACATTGAATTTTAAAAAGAAATTGTTAAAATACAAACCATTTTGATTTTTCCCCTACACTAGTAAATAATATTTTGAGCCCATTTTAAGAGATAATCATTTCCAGATTCTGAAAGAAAAAAAGCCTTCTCTTCAGTCACCCTTACTGATCTGTGAAATGTAGCAAATGAACCTTAATCTTCAAAAGAAAATAGGAGCCAGCAGCTACTGTAGGCCTTTAGGGGTGTGGTCCTCCTCCTTATTTCAAGGTCCAATCAAGTATTTAACTCAACTGGTTTTGCTTTTGGTTTTTTTTCCCAATCTAAATTCTAAAAACCAACCAACATTTACCCAAACAGGCTAATTTTCCAACTAGAGAACACATTCACTTCTCATAAAGCATCTGATTTTAGTCTGAGGCAGCAAGATGACTTGAGCCCAGGAAGTCAAGGCTCCAGTGAGCTAGGATGGCACCGCTGCCCTCCAGCCTAGGCAACAAAGCAAGACCCTGTCTCTCAAAAAATAAAATAATTTGATTTCAGCTGCTCACTATTATGAACCAAAGCATCGGGCTTCTCGTTAGCTTTATCCATTCCACAGGTTCATGTTCAGTTAGCTCGGCTCCATGTCGTGGCTTGTTCATAGCTCAGGAAAACGACATGTGTCCATCTGTGGGTGGATAAGGAGCAGCTGTGGCTAAACAGCACTGTCTTTATGTACTGTGAGACCACGATTTCAACGCATGATGCATTTGTTTCCAGAACCTGCATTTTCACACACTAGTTTCTTGTGGGTGATTTAAGATCACCCATAATCTGATGATAGTTACGGTTCTAGATAAAGCACATAGGTGTGAAAGCCTTCTTTAGTCTGTATGACTTAAATTTTAATCAAGTTTTTCCTATACACGTCTCTCCAGAATGGAACAGAACTGAGATGTTTGGAACATTTTTTCTGAGATATTTGAGAGAACAAAGCCAGCCTGTCTACTTACAGGAAAAGCATTTCTTGAAGTTGTTTTTAATGCAACATTTAACATGTCAACAGGAACAAACAGAAAGAAGGTCAGAAAAGATATGAGGGGACGGTGGCTCAAGCCTGTAATCCCAGCACTTTGGGAGGCCGAGGCGGGTGGATCACGAGGTCAAGAGATCGAGACCATCCTGGTCAACATGGTGAAACCCCGTCTCTACTAAAAATACAAAAAATCAGCTGGGCATGGTGGCGCATGCCTGTAATCCCAGCTACTCGGGAGGCTGAGGCAGGAGAATTGCCTGAACCCAGGAGGCGGAGGTTGCGGTGAGCCGAGATCGCGCCATTGCACTCCAGCCTGGGTAACATGAGTGAAACTCCGCCTCAAAAAAAAAAAAAAAAAAAAAAAAGATATGAGGGGAGCTGGGTTCTAGTTTTTCAAGCTATTGAAATCTCCACTTTTTCCTTATTGGCAAAATGAGGATAATTTGCTTCCCACAGAAGGGTTAATGTAGTTATTATAAACATGTCAGTTGATCAACATATTTAATAAAACCATCTCCTGTTATTGGAAGTATTTCCGAAGATTTTACTTCTAGATAACCTCCTCAGATCTAGGAATAATTTTTTTGCATACACTTGCCTGGTATGTCACCAGTGCCAAATGAGTGGTGAGCAAGTTAGTGAAGGATTAATACATGAAATTAATGTTCAGTGGTTTCACTTGTCCCCTTCCTGCATTGAGGTCAGTGCCCTTTGTGATGAGGACATGCCTAATGGCTACACTTTGCTGAGGATATTTTCCCCATGAGGATGGTGAGTATTCTAGGGAGATCGTTATAAGAGAAATCTTATTCCCTACTATTTCTGAACTTTCTCTAATAGTTTAATGGAAGTTTTACATTCAAAGACTAAGTTGGCAGATAAAGAATGGCACTGTTCATTCATCATCTTTGTTCTTTGAAAGAAAGGAATACAGAATCCTAAAATATTTACCTACAAATGCTTTAAAGGAACACAGCACAGAAGAAAGACGCTTTAAATGTTTGGATATGGTTGAAGGCCCACAAAAGAACTGTTTGTTAATACATTATGATTGCTGTGGGTTACAGTATCATCTTTTAAGTACTCTGCAGAAATTGGGTGACTGTGAATTGTTATGAAAACCTTTATTTTATCCTGAGATCACATGGGTAACTGGATATTTGGATACTACTAAATGATTTTCTTGTCCATATGCTCTTAAATTCATGTATACTATTAGTAAAAGTTATGCGTAATAATTATCCACCATCGAAATTTATCAGAATTAATTTGCAAGACATTGTTTTTAAAACGTCCTTTCTGTTTCTATTTTAGGAATCTTAAAGGGCCTGCTTCTTTCTGCAGTTGAAGTGTGTGCTGGCACCCAAAGAGTACTCCTTTGTTAGGCTTATGGACTGAGCAGTCTGGACCTTGCATGGCTTCTGGGAAAAAATAAATCTGACCCAAACTGATGGCGTTTTAAGCCTTTCAGCCAGTTGCTTCTGAGCCAGACCAGCTGTAAGCTGAAACCTCAACGAATAACAAGAAAAGGCTGTGGGCCGACTTATGATATTCTGCATGTTTCCTACATAAGAAGCTTCTCTGCCACAAAGTGACTTCAAAGACGGATGGGTTGAGTTGGCAGCCTACGAGACTGAGGACATATAACAAGAAACAGAAATGCCTTCATGCTTATTTTCATGGTGAATATGTTTTTACAAGACTGAAGACTCAGTATACTTTTTCTTTCCAGAAATATTTTCATATCGCCTATGAAATGTCAGATAAATTACCTTAGCTTTTATGTAGAATGGGCTCAAAAGTGAGTGTTTCTATTTGAGAAGGATACTTTTTCATCATCTAAACTGATTTGCCTTGGTGGTTAGTGTGGCCCACATGTTGCCTGCCTAAATCTTGGGTTTATTAGATGAAGTTAACTGAATCAGAGGAATCAGACAGAGGAAGATAGCTTTTTCCAGAGTCTACACTTCTGACCTCAGCCTCCTTCTCACGAACACCTGCTGGTGCTGATCTCAGAGAGCACCTGGGCTGGGGAATGTGGTAGAGAAAAGGCAGCCCATTGCCCGGAGTTAACACATAGTGTAGAGGCTTGTGTGCAAAGGCTGGCATATTTATATGAAAATTCGTTGATATAGAAACTCTTGTTGCATCGGTCCCTCTGCCTGAGCTTAGAAGATTCAGAATTTCTTTTATAGAAAAAGGGTATTTATAAACATAAATGATCTTTTACTTGCATTGTACCTTGTAGTAAAGGCTGTAGAAACTACAACATGTCAGGTTCCCCTCCTCCTGAAGTAGTTTCCATGAGAACAGACCACATGTTAGGACTAGAAGAAAACGCAGAGTTTGTAGGGGTTTAGAGGAACCAGGACATCGTCATGCTCCTTCCAGTCACGTGAGGTTAGTTAGCATATCATCTCCTACTTTAGCCATCTGATGTGGGATTTAAGAGGATGGTGCTTCTTTCTATTAAGGTGCTCCGTCCCCTACCAGCTTGGTATTTACACACTAGCATTGTCTCTAGAGCTAAGGCAGAAATTAACCCCATTCAGTCACGAAACAGGGAATGGTTTATTTGCTCTTAATCTTTATGCCCTGTAGAAGACTTAATTGAAGAGGGTTTATTTTTTAGACTTTTGAACATCAGTATGTTCAAGTGCACTATGAATTGTCCTGCCCAAGACACTGTCTTTTAACATTTAAACTGAATATTAAAATATAGCCATCTTTCCTAGGACATTTGTATCTTCTCACATATTACCCATGTTTTTCTCTCTTTGTGAGCTATGAGTAAATTTTAATGAGCGCTCTTTCTTGTGGCCTTTTCTCCATAGTTTTAGGTTCTGATATGCATTTACTAGCTTGCCTGTGTCTGGTACATCTCACGACCTCAATTCCCTCATCTGAAATAGGAAATAAGAGTGCTTCATTGCAACCCCCAATCTGTCATGTCAACCTAGTGCCCAGTCACAGTTAATTGACTTTTCCTGTTTTCCTTTTTTTTTTTAAAGCATAAACTAGTGGTCCTTTGGTAGTCATGAACGCTTAGGAAAATTGCCTTTAGGACATGTAAAATATTTAGGATTTGACCACACAATGGCTATGAAAATGCAAGGAGAGTTTCCTCGTGTGACCTCACCCGTGATTCACATACGTGCCGCTGTTTGCAATCTGGTCCTTTCTGTTATGGCAGAGGGACGATGTGAGTAGGCTGGGCTGTGTTCCTCGTGGAGCCTGTATATATTTTCCATATGTACAGCCCTGATTAACTTCAAGGATAAACACTTGCTGGAGAAAGTCAGACCGATGGGAATGAGACTTTGGCCAAAAATCCTAAAACATCATTTTCCATCAGTAGAGAAATGCTTTGAGTTGAAAAATGATTTCATTTGCTACTGAATTTGAAAAATCCTGGGTAATTTTTACCAAAGTGAAGATATTTTACTCTACCTACTCTAGAAATATACAGCAATGTTCTATTTTGCACTCTTTGTGTAACATTTTGTAAACATTTGAGGAAAAAAATCCAATTTGCACTTCACTTTGTTGGAATATCCCATAGCACTCAAAAAACTCAGCTGCTAGACTGCTGATGTCACGAAGGCTGCATGGGTGTAACTGCTGTGGCCTCTTGCGCTGCAGAAGCTCATTGACAAGAATGAGACAAGGATTTCAAGAACAACCAAGTCAAGTCATGGATTTTCTAATTTCATGTATATGGAATATATTTTTAAATAGAGCTTTTTCTACTTTGGATAAAGTGTTAATACTGCTATTACCTAGGTTAAGCACTACCGTCGTGCTAGTAAAAAAGAAAGGAAAGGAAAACCATCATTGCTTTAAAATAGCTTAAATCAATTTAAATCTCATCATTACTGTGCAAATTTCATCACCATTTACATACTGGAATTTATAATTGTGTAAATTATCATTTTCTTAAATAGTTTTGTAATATCTTTTTTATTTGTGAATAAAATTGTCACCTGGTATTCTTATTTATGTGTTCAGTGAGAGAATGATTGATTTCTTGGATGCAGACATGTTTTTTTCTTTCAGAAGTCTGTCGGAGGGCCTTGCAGAGTTCTGCTCCCTCTGGGCACAGCAGCTTCTGCCTGTGGTCCCAGTTATTCAAGAGGCTGAGGCAGAAGGATCATGAGCCCAGGAGTTTAAGGCCAGCCTGGACAACATAATGAGGCCCTGCCACTAAAAAATCTGCTCCTTGGGATGGAACCCTCTCTGGCTCTTCAGGCTTTTGGAGGGTGATTTATAATCCTCACTGGTGGCCTGTGAGGGAGAGCTTGGGAACATAACCAGGCCATCAGGCTGCTGGAAGATCTCTGCGACCCCTGAGAAGCTTTGGCATCGAGGTCTTATCATGGTCTCTTCATTTTTTTCCCTTCCTTTTATGGCACAAAGAGGGAAGGAACTAAAGAGAAAGTTTTGTATCCTTCTTAATGGAGCTCAGCCAGGTGTCCTGCAGAGGGACGCTGAAGAGAGGAAGCCCGAGACTCCCACAGAGGAGGCGTCCTTCCTTTTCTTCCCTCTACTCAGTAAAGCATTTAAGGCTATTATTAGGTTTTGAGAGAGGATTTTAAAATTCCTGGAAAAAAAAACTTTAAAAAATGTTAGGCTGGGCACGGTGGCTCACACCTGTAATCCCAGCACTTTGGGAGGCAGAGGCAGGTGGATCACGAGGTCAGGAGATCGAGACCATCCTGGTCAACAGGGTGAAACCCCGTCTCTACTAAAAATACAAAAAATCAGCTAGGCGTGGTGGTGCGTGCCTGTAATCCCAGCTACTCAGGAGGCTGAGGCAGGAGAATTGCCTGAACCCAGGAGGCGGAGGTTGCGGTGAGCCGAGATCGCGCCATTGCACTCCAGCCTGGGTAACAAGAGCGAAACTCCATCTCAAAAAAAAAAAAAAATGTTAAAGCGACATCTGCTCTCTCAGCAGGTGAGTTTCTGCTGTTGACTCTGGATTCTCTGAGAAAACGACATTGACTTCTTCCCCCCACCATGCCCCCACTCACACCCAGCCCCACAGAGTATGTGGACTTTCCTGGTGTCCATGGAGACTGATTTAGCTTATGGGCACCATAAATCCATTAACTCTGAGAAAAATAACTCAAAGCTAATAAGGTTCTTCCTGGTCTGAAGTATTCTACAGAAATAGCAATGGCATATTTTCATTATTACCACTCTTATTAAGGTCTCTGCAACTGGCTACTTGTTCTGAATGTGTCCCATTTTAAACTAAGAAGTTATTGTCTGATTTCTTATTTTTTTAATTTAATTTAATTTGATTATTTTTCGAGACAGAGTCTCACTCTGTCACCCAGGCTGGAGTGCACCTCCCAGGTTCACACAATTCTCCTGCCTCAGCTTTCTGTGTAGCTGGGATTACAGGCACATGCCACCACACCAGGCTACTTTTTGTGGGGTGTGTGTTTGTTTGTTTGTTTTTGTATAAATGGGATTTCATCGTGTTGGCCAGGTTGGTCTCAAACTCCTGACCTCAAATAATTTGCCCACCTCAACTTCTCAAATTGCTGGAATTATAGGCATGAACCTGGCCTTGTCTCATTTTTAAAACAAATTTGGAGCCAGCTAAGGTCAGTAGATCGAGCTTAAGTTTATTATTCGGTGTTGAAAGTGAACAGTGGTCTGAGAAGTTTTAAAATCTTCTAAAACATCAAACAAGTTTTAATAAGTTCTGGTATGTGATTATAGGGATATAATCATGCTGAGTCGAGGCAGCAGTTCATAATAGTATTGGTTATGTCACACTTCAGCCAAACGAGGGTTGAAAGGTTTCTACTCTGGAGTCAGCTGGCCGAGGTGGGGTCATCTTATGAATGACTAGTGGCATTTGAATGAGTGAGCTTTCAAATTCACCTCTCCAAAAGACCTGAATTTTAAAAACTTAACCAGCAAAACCACTTTCTCTAGAACCATGGGTGGTCTTCTGAAGCAGGTTTCATTTTTTGTTCTATAAAGACAGAGGAGAGGATTCTTTATAATTTCTAATGGCATTAGCTGTTCCTACTTAAGACAGAAGTAGCTGTGTTCTGATAGCTTTGTTTGGGGTGGAATTTAACTAGCAGAACTATGCAGAGGGATTTTCCTTAGCTGGGTTGATTATTTACAGTAAATAGAAGATCTGCAGACCATTCTGCCAGCAATCTTTTAATAGCAGGTTAGGGAAAGGCTGCACACCGCCACGAGGCATGTCACCCCTCCACAGATCAGACAGTAACCGTTTCCCTTGAAGTTCTAAACCCAAGTCCAATTCCCCTCAGAAGCCTCACCCTAGTAAGGGGCGTTTCCGATGGCAGTCCTTAATTTATGCACTCAACATACATTTATCTAGCATACAGCATGTGCTGGCTTCTAACTGCAGTGCCAGGGCCAGAGATGATATGGAGGAATGCAAGGCAATCAAGCCCTTTGGCGTTTATAAAGTAGATCTGGGCTGGCGAGGTGGCCCACGCCTGTAATCCCAGCACTTTGCAAGGCTGATGCGAGAGGATCACTTGAGGCCAGGAGGTGAGACCAGCCTGGTCAACAATCTGAGATCCCGTCTCTACAAAAAAAAAAGGAAAGAAAGGAAAAATTAGCCAGTGTGGTGGTGCAGGCCTGTAGTCCCAGCTACTCAGGAGGACCAGGTGGGAGGATCCTTGAGCCCCGGGGTCTGAGGCTGCAGTGAGCTGTGTTAGAGCCACTGTACCTCAGCCTGGGCAGCAGAACAAGACCCTATCCCTAATTTTAGCTCTTAATTGTGAAAACACAAGTGCAAATCCTTCTGGGGACAGTGAGGAGGGAACGCAGAAGCTGAGAGGGAAAGTCCTCTGCATGGGGCCATGAAGACTCATGTGGCGTTCACCAGGCAAGCGGAGGGTTGGAACATGCTGGAACACAGGTGGAAAGGGTCGGCCTGTGCTGGGAGTCGGAGAATCGCAGGGAGGCTGGAGCATGAGGACACGGGTGAAGGGGCTCAGGTGGGTTTCTAGCCTAACAGGTGTCCAGTGAGCCCTGCCCTGGGACTCAAGCTTCCCCCATGGGGGACTGACTCCCCTCTATGTGAAGAAGTGACGGACATGAAAACTAAAATAGTCTTCCAGAAGCTTCGGAGTTCCAGGGGGAGAGGAGTGGACCTCTCTCCTGCAACAGAAAATCCCCAGTCACTGGGAGGGACCGGCCAGGAGTGGAGGGAGACAGTCTCTCTCCTGTTTGGAAATACTGAGCCTGAGCTCGTTCTGCGGCATTTGGGTCCGCTCGGTCGGGTTTGGTTTCCGGTGGGGGAGTGCCGAGCCTCAGGGGTACGTTTAGGACTCAGCAGAACCACCACTGGAGTCCTGAGAGACAAGGCTGAGTAGGCTGGCGTACTGCCCTGGAGTGGGCTTGCCTTCCTGCGCCGGTGGATTGCATCAGGCGCCTTTGTGGCCTTTTAATCCTGGGCCAGGAATGCTGCCTCGTGGTCCTGCCCAGCCTGAAACTCGAAGCAACCCTACCTCCAGATCTGGGCCGGTCTTCAGGGTGATGGGTATCTGCTCACCTGTTTCTAAATCTTAGCTTTGTGCATCCGTTTCTAAGTCTTAGGCCGCCTTCACCTGAAAGCTAACTAGCCTGATCATGTCTGTCTGCCCCCTACCTTGTCTTGGAGATGCTGCTGCTTTTGTTCCCTGCCCTCACATGGCTGAGCAGCCTGCCCCCGGGGAAACCCATGGGGACAGAAGGCTGGCCGCTGGCTTGGGGAGGACAGCAAAGCCCGAGCAGCTTGCCTGCGGCCGGTTCCGAATCCTCGCCTTCTGTAGCTCAGGAGTCCCCCTTGCCCTCCTTTCTCCCAGGATGGTCTGTCTGCTCCCAGCACCCCGGCGTTATTGAAGTGAGAGAAAGCTTCTGGCTGCATCTCTAGGGCTTTTTGGATATTTTAACCACACATAAATGCACTGAGAGACAATTAGGTTAATACATAGACTGATTAGAGGCGAAGCCCAAGCATAAAGTTGAGGGAGAAGCCACCCGGAAACGCAAAAACCCCAAGATTCAACAATCAGATGTGAGGGAATGCACCCCTGGTGCTCTCCAAAGGCCTAGAACTGAAAGGCAGCCGCTCCCTCGTGACTGTAGTGTTGTGTGAAAGTGAAATCCCAGGACCCAAACTCATTGTGCCAAAGTGGAAGGTAAGCTTGGGAATTCAGTCACTGATAATGTTTTCCCAAACAGCTGTAATTTCACAACCTGACTTCACAGCCTCATTCCCTGTGCTCCCTCTTTTCACAAGCTTGCTTTATCTTCTGTGGAATCTGCTGTACTGAGCTGGAGGTCACGCGTAGCTGGGATTCTCCTGGACTCCATCTTTTCACGTGTGAAATGTAGATTTACCGAAGCTAGACAGAGCTGCACAAGATGTAAGCCTTGGCCTCACTGCCTCCCCTCTTCCCTTTTCCCCTTTTCTACTTGCTGTTTCCCCTTTAAATACTGAAGTTTACAAAGCCTCCTTTAGGAAAAGCAGAGGTCACAGACACCCCTGTTGTCAGAGGTGTGTGAACCAGAGCAACTCCATCTGAAATAGGAGCTGGGTAAAATGAGGCTGACCTACTGGGCTGCATTCCCAGGCGGTTAAGGCATGCTAAGTCACAGGATGAGATAGGAGGTCGGCACAAGATACAGGTCAGAAAGACCTTGCTGATAAAAGTGGTTGAAGTAAAGAAGCCAGCCAAGACCCACCAAAACCAAGATGGCGATGAGAGCGACCTCGGCCATCCTCACTGCTACGCTCCTATTAGCCCATAACAGTTTACAGATGCCATGGCAACGTCAGGAAGTTACCCTGTGTGGTCTAAAAGGGAAGGGCATGAATAACCCACCCCTTGTTTAGCATATAATCAAAAAATAACCATGAAAGCAGGCAACCAGCAAAGCCTCGGGGCTGCTCTGTCTATGGAGTAGCCGTTCTTTTATTTCTTTATTTTCCTAATAAATTTGCTTTCAC